GTGTCTCTAAAAGGGAAAGAAAATCAAAGAGGCCCTAGCCCTGATAGCTAGTAACAAACCTATGACTGGAACTCTGTCCAGTCTCTGAGCTCCCCGAGCAGGGCTTTTCCCACTCTCCTGTAAGAGGCCCAGGGTTTTTCCTTTGAACCCCTGGCTTCTTGGCTGGCCATCTCTTGCCTATGCTGTTCCTAGAATTAATGATTCCATTGAAGCCCTCAGCCCACAGTGGTCAGGATTCCCAGACTCTTCAGCATCTGCCACCATTTGGCCAGAATTCACATATAGAAAGTTATTTCCTTTTTTAGCCACTAAGTGCTCTTGGCTGCAGCCGTGTCTACTGCTGGGCTTTCGGCTGGCCAAACAACAGGCTCTGGTGTTCCTTTGATGTCAAATCATAACAAGAACAACTGAAACAAAAATAGGAGGTGGGCCTCGTGTTTCCTAAAGAGTAGTGGGATTCGAACCCTGCCTCCACTCTCCAGTTGTGTGTCCTTAGGCAAGTCACTCAGCCTGTCCGTTTCCTCCTCATCTGAAAAAAGGGAATGTTTACTCATGGGGATTCAACAGTATGCGGACATGTGGAAGCACCTCAAACAGTATCTGGCACATAGTAGACACTCAATCAGGTTAGTTCCTTGTTTTCTTTTCCGACATTTCCAGTAAAGACTCCTCTCAAGCATGATCCAACTAGCCAACCTGATACAGAATTTGGCAGTGCAGCAGGCTGGTTAGAGTGACCCAACAAGGATGCTCACGAGGCACCGGGTGGAAAGGTGAGGAAAACATGGGCGATGGGAAGGATATTAATTTCTCTGTACATTCGTTATTTCACTAGGCATGCAGACCTTCGGGGCAAGCGTGGAGAAGAAAGGAGGTACAGGGCCCCAGTGAGATCAGGCCCCTCTCATTCTTGTAATTGGTTCACCCTAGTTCTGGACTTTTCTTTAAGTCAAGCCTTTGGGCCTGGAGATGGACTCCGTATGAGTCCACATTATAAAATGTGTGCTTCATGTAATTCCTGCCTTCTGAAAAGCTGCAGCACTTTTGAATCTGATCACCAACCAATCCAAAGGCACATCCACGGGGTAGGTTTGAAGCTGGCTCAGTTCTACTTGGAAAAGAAATCAGTGACCTGTGGAGAAGGGCCATCCCGACCCCTAACCACATCCTCCCTCTCCTGAAGTTCTGAATCATGAAGATCCCCGGACGGATTAAGATCCTGGTAGTTATCTGTGAACAAGAGCCTTGAAAGAGAGGTTCTTTCGAGTCCCAGCTGTTTCTCCGTGACTCTAGATGAGATATTCCCCTCCCTGAGCCTCAGTTTGCTTGCATGTAAAAGAAAGCAGTTGAGCTGAATGGTTGCTAAGTTAGAACATCTGGGGAGTTTGTGACTTGACTTGACAAATTGCGATAGTATGGCAAGTTAGTGGCAAAGCCAAAAAGCAAAGCTAGATTTTCTGACCCCCCAGCTTAGAGGTCAGCAAAAGTAGTCCCAGAAAAAGAAAAAAAAATCTGTGGTCATAAAAAGCAAGCAGTACTTTCTCAGAATTACATGTCATGATGAGACTTCACTGTGGGAAGACTTTTACATCAAACAAGATGTAGTTCCAAGAAATGGGCTGAGGACCAGGTAACCTGGATTCTACCCTATTGTTCTATTATTCATTGAGCACTTAATATATAATAGCCATTTTAAATACAGTTTCCCCCACCATCCAAAAAAGTAGAGCATTCCTATGAAACCATTTGTAAGCCAAAATGGCATAAAGCAAAGAAGCAATGACCATTTCATAAAAGTGAAAATCCTCTTTCAGATTTCCATCAGTGAAAACAGGTACTATAATGTAGGTCTTTTGTAAAAGTGCTGAGGGGCACCTGGGTGGCTCAGCCAGTTAAGCGTCAGCTTAGGTCATGATCCCAGGGTCCCAGGATTGAGCCCCATGTCAGGGGAGCCCTATGTCCTGATTGAGCCCCATGTCAGGCTCCCTGCTAGGCGGGGAGCCTGCTCTTCCCTCTGCCTCTGCCCCTCCCCCCACTTGTGCACACACTCTCTCTCTCAAATAAATAAGTAAAAATCTTTAAAAAAAAAAAAAGTGAAGTGGCATAAAGCACATGTTGGATAGTGGGGAAACATGTACATTATTTTATTTAATCTTCACAAAACCTTACAAGGAAGGTATTTATTAACCTCCTGGCGGATGAAGAAACTGAGGCTCGGAGACATTAACGAATCTGCCCCAGGTCACACAGCTGAAATCCTAACCCAAATGTGACTCCAGATGCCCAGGCTCTTCCTTCTGCCCAACCCCTGAATTAGATAAACTCTAAGATCCCTCTATGCTATTTCAATAGCTCTGATTCTGAGATCTCCTGACTCCCCTATGAAAGTGAGTGGATTGTTGAAGGCTGAATTTTTTTTTGCCCATGATTTGCTAATATCCAGAAACAACTGAATCACAAAGTGACATCAAGCTGTCATTCTCCAAGAATCCGTAGCTTCTGACTATAGAAAGGGAATCAATCAGTTTCTTTTCTAGGAGATTTGAAGCTTTCCTGGAAAAATGGGCATCTCTCCCCTTTGGTCAGCTTAATCCTCGAGCCCAAGATGGGGCCAACTGGCCCAGAGGCCTGCTAGAGTCCCAGGTGGGTGAGGTCTTCCCTGAGGCAGGGAGCAGAGCCTGGGCCTTGGGTCTCGCTGGCCTGAGGACTGCAGGTCTCCTGACTGATCCAGGCAGACAGGCTCCCTGTTCTGCCTTCACTGGTTACAGTGGGATCAGCCAGTCCCCAAGAAGCCAGGCTGCACTGTGGTAGCCCTGCTGGTTGCCAGAGCCCAGAACCCTCCAGTGCATGCACCCCTAACAGCCAGCAGAGACGATGAGGGGCAGGTGGGCAAGTGAGTGTTCCTGCCAGAAAACAAGATCGTGGAGGTACTCAAATGGAAGAAGCAGGGAGGCCTGGGGAGAAATGGAGGCTCGGAAAACACAGCTGAGGACGGAAGTCAGAAGGGGCCTAGGTGTGAGTGCGCAGAGCAGGATGTTCTCCCAACCAAACTGAACTGAGGCACTGTGTCATCCCTTCATGGGTCACTTTCCTTTCCTAGGCATTGTTTTCCCTACTAGTGGAAGAAGCGGACAGGCAATCTAACAGACCTCTTCCAGTCCTAATGGCCTAGGACTTTCGGTCGGGATAAAGAGAGGGAAGAGGAGTGAGGCAGCTAGGGGACAAGGACAACAACCGGTTTCAAGAGCCCGGCAAGGACCTCCATGGGGTTCTAAAGCAGTGGCAAAGCAGGGCAACGTGGCGGTGTTACTGCTGTGGCTTGATGAACTTCATGTGTCTGGGTGCAGGGATAGCCAGAGGGTACCAGTCTGGAAGCCAGGGAACACAGCTCCGGGTTTCCTCTGCCATGAGCACTGTGGTCAGCGGACTGCTCCTGGGCAGCTGCTGAGTGAGGTAAAGACGCGGTGGGACGGCTAGGGGAGCAGGCTCCGAAGAGCTCCGCTGCCCTGGGGAAACTGCCAGAAGGTGGACAGTTCAGAGCTGTCCCCAGAGAGCAGTGAATCGGGTTCTTGGGCTGAGCTGGGGCTCTGGAGGCTTTGGGTGGAAAAGATGAGGGCCTACTGATATGAAAGTCAGGCTGGGGTGCCTATAAGTACCAGCTTGTGTCCCCAGTGGTGAGCCATGCCACCTGGCAAATGAGGAGGCTACATCTCCACATACTGGCTTTTGTCTCCTCTCCAGTTTTGCTACATTTCTCCTGGGTCTCCTGACTCCCCGTCCAGTGCTCCTCACTCTGCCCTTCCTTTTCTCCAGCCAATCAGACCCAGTGTGCCAGAGCCTTGTGAGACGCTAAGGAGGAAAACCCAGGAATCCCTCCATTATGACAGCATACTGGGAGGGGGAATTGAGTTAAAAGTGAGCAAGGGCATAGTACAGATGTAAAATCCTTGGGATGAGCTTCCCTTTTTCATGATTCTGAGGTATATTTGAGCCTAAGGAATCATAACCTTGCACAATGTTACTGCTGAATGGAACTGGAGGGATTCTTCTACTTCAAACCCCTCATTTTCTTTCTTTCTTTTTTTAAAGTAGACTCCACGCTGGAGCAGACACAACCCTGAGATCAAGACGTGAGCCAAGATCAAGAGTGGCACGCTTAACCAACTGAGCCACCCAGGCGCCCCACAAACCCCTCATTTTCTAGATGAGGAAACTGAGGCCCAGAACAGGGAAGTGTCTGGCCCAAGGACGCACAGCCACTCAGGGCACAAGAACCCAGACGTCTCAACCCCCAGGTATGGGTTCTTTCACCACATGCTCAGAAGAGAGGTCAAGGAGCTGACAGAAACCTTTATGCCCTGAGGCCATCTACCTCACCCTGTACCCAGGAGGAAAGGGGACCTTCCGTGGACACCTCTTCACTAGCCTCTTTCCTCTGACAGTGACAGTGAGTGGCAGGCCAGACTGCTCGCAGCGCACAGCGGGGACATGATACTCTGCAGGAAACTTAAGCAGGGAATATTTTTAAACCACCCAACATGCCGTAGGGGGGAAAAATCAAAACACTCCCCTGGATGCTGTGGAAAGCAGTTCAAAAAAGTTTCCAAGCCTAGAGGAAGCACCGTAAAACAGTGATGGTTTTTGTTTGTAAAGGACCGATTTCATCTTAACCAAAGTTCTTGGGAATGAATCGCTGAGCTGCTTGGAAGATGCCCCTGGAGGGCAACCACTCTGCCAGAGGTAGACCAACTCCAAGGGCCTTCCACTCACATTTCTACAGCTCCTTACAAATCAAGTGAGTAATTTATCTGCTGCTTCACGACCATCCTCCTCTATATAGCCCTACCTCACCATCACGGGGGCTAGTGAGGGGGAGGGAATAAGCCCCCAGGTACAGAGAAGGAGCTTTGTTGTTGTCCAGCCTGGAACTCAAGGCTCTCTCTTCTGGCTCCTTCCCATCAACTGGTAGTTTCATCTCTTAAAAGCCGGGCTATCCTTACCTTCTCCCCCGGTCCTCCTCTCTGGAATTTCCACCGGCTTCCCGGTCCTGGGTTCCTGGCTGCCTCCTGCGCTGCCCAGCCTTCCCCGCTCTCGCTCAGCCTGTCAGTTGCTCTCCCACCCCCTTTTGACTCTGTGTGTGTCGCCCTCCCTCCTCCCACTTCTTCCTACTCTTTCACTCTCCACCCCCTTCCCCCCAGGTCCCTCCCTCCCGGCTCTCCCTCCTGCTCTTAGAATCTTTGCTCACTTCAAAAGTTTTCTTCCCTCTAGCCCCCTGCAGTCTCTCCTCACCGGGAGAGAGGAGACTGGAGCCTTCCTCCTTCCCCGCTGCCCTCCACTGTCATTGTCGCTGCAGTCCTGGCGCCCTCCCTCTCCTTCGGGCGGGGGACACACTGCCTCCCTAGTCTCTGCCGAGCCTCCCTGGGCTCCTCTGGCCAGGGCTGTCATGGGGCATCAGGGGAAAACTGGCATTACCCAGAGGTCTCTCTTCTCCATCCTTTTCCTACTGTCAGAGAAAAAGAGTGCTCCTTCATGGAACAGGTCTTTTGGGGACCTCCACTATGTCCCCATCAGTGAGCCGAGCATCAGCTAGCATAGGAAACAGTCTCACAACTCACAACCACCAGCGCCCAGAATAGACACCAGGGGTAACTGGAAAGCTCCAAAGGACAGGGAGAGGGCACCGCCACTGACCAGGATCATACTCCTCTCTCCCCCTTCTCTACAGAAAAGAGAACACCTTCTATGTGTGCAACACTGGGCTAGAATATGTATATATATTCCATTTTTATTTCACCTAATTATTCCAGTTTCCAATTCTACACGGTAGACATTCCTACATTTGAGGAAATTCAATCATGGTGACCCAGTCGGTAAATGGTAAGAGTTGGGATCAGAATTTTAGTCAAAGCCAAAATTCACCTCTGTGCTCCTCCCACAAGAGCGTACAGATCTCCCAGCCGGAATCCAGTCGATGCAAGTAAGCTTATCTCTTGTTAGATCATATACCACAGGCGAGCAAATTCAGAAACTGGGAGGCATCTCTCTGCTCAAGCTCCCCTCATTCCCAACTCCTCAACTTAAGCACTTAGCCGTGGACCCAGTCGGAGTGTGACAAATATCGACAACAGAGGTTGCTGTGAGTGGCCTAAATCCAGACAAACCAGTGACCAAGAGCCCACATGTTGTGACAGCAAGAAGAAAACCCCGGAGATCATCTGGAACAGCCACGGAAACTGAGGCTCAGGGAGTCGAGTCCACTTGTCAGTGTCACACACAGTAAAGTCAGTGGCAGAGTCAGGACCAGAGCCCAGATCCATTCCTTTGCTCCACATTATCACCGTCACACATAGCACTGCTCACACACATTTCAACATTTTGCAAAAGCTGTTTGTTTCTTTAGTGGTGGTATTTTTCATGGGTGAATAAGCTTAGCGTCGGCAAGAGGGGAGAGAATGTGGGGCCAAACTTCCTGCGTCCAGGGAGGCAGCAGCCCTATCGAAAACAAATTCTGGATTCTGGATTCCTTAGTCAGAGTTTCACTCTTTTTTTTTTTTTTTCTATGTAGCATCGGAGCAGATTCCAGGGCCAGCCTGTCTGGGTTTGAATCGGGGCTCTACCACTCACTAGCCATGTACCACTGAGCAAGTTAACTTGACCTCTGTGCATCTCAATTTTACAAATTGGGGATAATAATAACTACCTCCTAAGGTTGTCATGAGGACTAATGAGTATGTGAAAGCACTTAGGACAATGTCTGGTGCATGCTTACTGCCGTGGATGTGACAGCACAATCAACACAATACCTTTGCAGTCTCCTCCTGCCTGTACTTAACCATGGCTGAGCCAAACCCCAAGGATAGAATTTACCATGTAAAACCATGGATTGCTCTGGGGACACCAGTTTCTTCTCCACAACAGAGATCATCCCTACATCCCAGCCACTCTATCAAACCTGGGGGCTCCTGGAACACCTTATTATCTCCACCCAGGAGATGGACCAGTTAAAGAACACATAAGACTCTGTTGAAAGATAATCTGAGAGTGGGGAAGGGCTAGTGAAGTGCTCATTCCTAGATCACTGGCTGCCAAAGGGGAGTCTAGCTGGCATTACGGTTGGGAATGAAGGGAGAATGCCATTTTCCTCTGAATGCCCAGAAGGGAAGAACTGCCAAGATGTAGGCACAACCGTGATCTGGGACAGAGCACAGGGTGCAGAAGGTAAATGCTCCCACACTGCTTGGCAGGCAGAGAAATAGGCAGTGAAGAAACTGGATGGGCTGCTAGAGGTGACCCAGGAAGTCCAAGTCAGTGTTGGGAGAAGCCTGAGGTCTGGAACTCAGATCATCCCAACACCATGAAGTGGAGCAGCTCTCCATCCAGGCACTGTGCTCACAATGGTACCTTGGACGGAGTGCATTTTGATGGCCCAAAGCTACGCTGCTTTGGTAAGGCCTTCAGAAGTCTGGTTTATTTCTCACCTGGGTCTCTTTCAGGCTCAGGTAAGGACTCTGACAAAATTAAGGAAAACGTCCTTCAGGCTATGGATCCCAAATGATCATTTAAAGGGGCTGAATCTGGCTGTTACCACATATCTAAGAAGGATGCCATGAGCAGATACACAACGCCCCAGAAAAGGAGGTGTCGGGCCAGGGCCAGGACTGCAAACTGAGGGTCTGCTGTGTCCTCCTCTTCATCCTCACATTCAGCTTAAGACAGGGTCTTACAAAGACGTGTCACACATTAAAAACTATGAAGAAACTCGGAAAGGAATTACAGAGGAAGCCAAAGAATTGGTCAACAATACCTGTAAGGGAGAGGCTGTAGAAGTGGGATGGCAAAATAGACTTCATTCAACATTTACTACATGCTAGGCTTTGTGTGAGGCATTCTTCACCCTCTTCTACTGGGAGATGAAAAGACAGAAAGATGACCTTCTAAACATCATATAAACCATCCATCAGGGTCACCTGGACAAAGATTCAGTCCTGTAGACCCAGCCTATGCTAAGTAGGAGAGAAGGGCCATCTTTTGTCCACAAGAAGCTGGCATTCTAGTCAACTATGTAGACAAAACAATTAGCATAAATGTCAGTACTCAATGCATGATGTATTTGTCCTCAATGCATGATGATATAAAAAAGTTAGGTGAGGGGGCACCTGGGTGGCTCAGTCGTTAAGCGTCTGCCTTCAGCTCAGGTCATGATCCCGGGGTCCTGGGATAGAGCCCCCGCATCGGGCTCCCTGCTTGGCGGGAGGCCTGCTTCTCCCTCTCAGGCTCCCCCTGCTTGTGTTCCCTCTCTCGCTCTGTCTGTCTCTCTTTGTCAAATAAATAAATAAAATCTTTTTTAAAAAAAAGTTAAGTGAGGAAAAAAATCTTTTGGAAAGCAGGTTCATACAGCATGATCTCTTTGTTGTGTTTTAGTGAAGGAGAAAGGGCAAGGCACATTTATTAAAGGCCTTCAATGTACCGAGCATTTTCACCTCCCAGCACTACAAGGTAGATACAGCATTACTATTTCTGTTTTACAGAAAAGAAAATTCAGACTCAGAGAAGTTTAGTAAATTGTGCAAGATTACTCAGTTAATAAGTGTGGAAAAGGTCAGGCACTTTCTCTCCATGGCTGTGGAGGAATTCTCATGGAACCCATTGGCCTGGTCAGAGAGGAGGGCACAGGGCCTTCCAGGTGGGAGCAAACAGGCCTGCAGATGCCACAACAAGAATGGGCTCCAACCCCAGCAAGAGAGGCTGTGTTTGACCATGACAATGAAGGTGGCACAGGCCCCATCTGAGATTTCCAGGCAGAGGCAAAATCACCTTTTGTACAAGTCTTTTAAAGGTGGCATTTTGAAAATGACTTCTTTTTTTGCTTCTCCTTAGAGGCAAGAGGGCAAATGAAGAGACCTTTCAATGTCCCCTCTACCCAATGTATCTCTGACTCCCCTAGTTTCCTTCCCAAGACACTGTGGTCCAGATGTTTAAAGAGCCTCCTCCCTTAGAACCTACAACCATAACACATGCAAATAAGTTCTGTCAGCATCTAATTATGAGAGCGATGAGTCCCCCATGCCTCACTGGAGGTCATAAAGAGGTAATTGGAGCCATGGTTAGTGGGCTGAGGTCACACTTTTCAGCTGGTAGAGATGAACCACAAGAAGAAGCTGTCCCCTTTAAGACTTTTGCTTTCCATGTAGTGGCTAAAACAGGCAAGAACGCCCTGTTCCAAGAAGCAGAAAGCAAAAGAAACACAGACTTCCTTGCCCCTGATGCTTTAGTCTATGATTCTATTCTCAGTGCACCTCAAGTTTTAATCCCAAAGAAAAGCTCAAAGTCATATCCATACCTCTTCTTGGGCTTAAGACAGATGGGATCCTTCAGGATCCCAAACTTAGGAACTCTTTTGTAGTGGGCTTGGCCAGTGGCCCCCATGGACATGAGAAGAAGAGGAGGAGGGGAAGAGGAGGAGGTATCCAGTATCAGCCAAGCCTGATTCCCTCCCACTAAATTCAGAGCATAAAGGCAACAGCTGAATGCAGCCTCACTGGAGTTCTGGAGTCCCTGGTCCAGGGATTTCATTTTACGACAGAAAGGAGACCTTTCTCTGGGAGATCTTGGGATGGCATTTGCCCTCTAGATCTGAAAGGAAGTCCTTGAAAGCAAGAAGACTGTGAATTTTGTGTTATTTTTGTTATTATGTCATTATAAGCAACATCTAGAGTTTGCAATGAGTACCTGGAGCTCACCTCTTTTTCCTCTAACAAATTATTCATCCTTGGTCTACCCCCACCTATCCACCTCACAAGGACCAAGAAGGGCTTGCTTCTTTTTTATTTTGAAAGGTGTTTTCAGTCAAGTCCCAGGTATATGCTAGGTGGTCTATTGGCAAAAATCATAAAATACAAGGTCAGGAAACTTTCTGCCAAATATGCCATTAACTCAGGTGCCCTCAGACAAATCACGTTAAAATGGAGGCATTTTCTTGCATGTGAAATAGAGATGCAATATCCCATGCCTGACTTGATAATTTAGACAATAATGTTCAAAACCTAATTCAACAAAAAGTTTACATCTCCTCCTAAATTAGTGTCCAGCCTTCAACT